AAGAGACTCTGGGCGCTTCGGCGGCCCGTGGCAGAACCAGAGTCTCCCAGAAGCCTCTAGGAGTCGGCGATGTACGAGATCGAAGCTGAGCCTGCATTGGAAACCCCAGGAAAGATCGGGAACCTAGACTGTCTACCCAAGAATTCCGCAGGCAGTAAGTGGAGCCAGCTGAAGAAAGAAATCTGTGGGCTCCTTCAGAAAAGAGGGAGGGGCTGCTGCAAGTCTTCTGAGCCCACATCTCAGTATCATGTGTACAGCTGTTAGTCACGGAAGCACAGCTTTTAATATTTGCTTAACTGAGTTACCATCTTGCTTTTGGTCTGATCCTTTCTCTTGATGACTCCGCCTCCCCCTTCTAAAAGACAGTATTTGAGCCATTGTGTATTGGGAGTATGCAACTTTGATTTATTTTATTTCTAATCAAACTGTTTTATCATTTCCTCCTTCCTCCAGCTCTCTCATGCTCTCACATCCCATTTCCTCTCAAATTCATGTCTTCTTTTTATTTAATTAAAAAATACCCATTGGGTCTGTTTATTGTTCTTGTATGTATATGTTTCTAGGACTGACTACTAGATATTGGATACTGGATAATCAATTAGAGGCCGCCTCCTGGGGAAAGACCAATTCTCTCTCTCTCTCTCTCTCTCTCTCTCCCTTCCTCTCTCTCCTCTCTTTGAACAGCATTGCCTTACTGCACGAGCCTGCTCCCCACAATGATTTTCTACTTCTCACAGACCTCACTGGCGGCCAGATAGCCACGGCCTGAAACTTCTGGACCCATTCTCCCTTTGATTTGATCTGTCTCTGGCATTTTGTCTCTCCAGTGGAAATCTGACTAAAGCATCATGAGAATTGGAACCTATTTGGAAATCGGACACTTTCAGGTACAATCATAATACAACAACAAGAAAATTTATGGTTTTTTTCCCTCCTAGGCAACAGCTGTATTATGAGGAAGCTGAATAGCTCCTTTGCAGCCACCCTCTGTCAGAAACTAGTTGAAGTGGATGCTGAGTGCAAGCTCCACACCTTCTGTGAGAAGCTATGACCACAGGAGCAGCTGCCGATACTCTGGGTGACTGTGGAAGGCTTATGTGATACGAATCAATTGTAGGAATGCCAGACAAGGTTCTCCCAGGAAGTAAGGAAGGGGAGTTGACCCACAGCAGAGTGTACCTGCTGTTAAGTAAGGAGCATTCTTGCTATCTACACCAAGGAGGACTGTTGAGAAGTGCGGGTCTTTTTAGGGATGCCTTGTGGAGTCCAATCTGTGTATTCTCAACTTGGTTATTGTAAAGAAGAAAAGAGTTTGGGGTGGCTCTTCCTGGACTGGCAGATACTAGGATGCTTCGGAGGTGGGGGCCCAAAAGGACTAGCAGAATCCCAAAACTTTCTGATCTCTACAGAAGATGATGTCTGTCAATATGCTGTCAGAAAGCCCTTAAACAAAGAAGATAAGAAACCCAGGACCAAAGTCCCTAAGACTCGGTGTCTTGTTACTCCACATGTCCCAACTTCTTGCTCTGAAGATACAACACACTAAGAAAATTTACCATCCGCTTCTCAGAGAAGGTAAGGCTTCCCATGGGGTGTCAACAAAGTCTAGCATATCGCTCTGAGGCAGGAACAAGGCCCTCCCCACTATATCTAGGCTGAGCAAGGTATCCCTCCAAAGGGAATGATCTCCAAAAAGCCAGAATAAGCAGTAGGGATAAATCCTGGTGCCAGTGACCCCACAGACTGCCCAAGTTACCCACATTCAGAGGGTCTAGTTTGGGCCTATGCAGGTTTCCCCGATGACAATCCGGAGTTGAATAATCTTTGTTTTAAGCTACCACGTTTATGGTAATCTCTTGCAACAGCTCTAGAAGGCTAATTCATCTGTGAAATTTGTCCTGACGGCAGCTGAAATGCAGGAAGAGTGCCAAAGCAGCTCAATGTGTTTATTCTTCCATCTGGAAAGACAAGGACACAGAGCGTGGTACTTGGAGTGGGGGGAGAACTCAAAAAGCTTTGCGTATTTTATTTATCCATTGCAAGACAATAAAGACAGCATCTCAATAACCAGTGCTGTGACACTTGGGGTCCCATTATGTCTTTGTAACAAAAGAGAGTGGGGTTGATAAAGTGATTAGGAAACAGGAGAGGAAGTAATGGTGGGTGGAGTTTATGTCAGCAGAGAACTCTGGGAGAAACCCCACCACGGGGAGTTTTACTGTGGTTTTTAGGCAGGATAAAGAGAGTCTAAGTTTTCCTGCCTCTCCTGATCTTCAGTTGCTTTCAACACTGCTCGTGACAAAGAGGCATATTTTAGACCAGCATATTCTGGATCCCTTCAATAATAGAGGCCAGTATTTTCTGGTTATCTTCACTGGTACCCTAGTCTTGTATCCTTGACTGGGATAAACATTTCCCAGCTTTCTGTGCCTCTGAGCTGCACATCGCACATTATATATAGTAAAGACCGAGTGGGCCTGCTTAGGAGAGTGTCAAGCTCTATTAAGCATGAAAAGATCAGCATCATTAGTAACTAGAGATATCCAGATTAAAAGAACAACAGACCCATTAGAATGCTTTGCATTCAGAGGAAAATGAGAAAGGTAATACCAGGTGTTAATGAGAATTTTAAGCAACTGGCTTTTTTTTTCCTTTAAGGAGGTTTTTTAAGATTGGAAGAAATAATTTACTTAGGGGTATGCATGGTTTAAACACACTAGTGATTAACTCTGAGTCACCAAAACCGCATCAGTCTCACATTAAGGAAAGAAAGAAAAGCACTTTCCCCTGGAGTCATCTAACCAAGAGCGAGTCCAGGTCTGAATTCTCTACTTTCTACCCCTGTGTCTTCTGTCCTCTGTTTATATGTTGGGTGAGTCTGTGCCTGCCGAGAGGCTGTCTTTGAATCTGTCCCTGTGTCTGTGACTGTGTGCTCTCTGTGTGTCTGTCCATGCCTACCCATGTGTATCCCTGTGTCTGCCTTTGTCTGCCTCTGTTTGCCTTTAATAAAGGCTTTGCTCTGTCACTCAGTAGTACAGTACTATACTATACTATACTGTAGTACTGGGCTATTGATCAGTATGGGAATCATCACATGGGGAAGGGGTGGGAGACTTTACAGACATCTTTAACTAGGAATTAAGTCACTGGGCCCCAACCAATCCCAACTGACCCAGACAACCAACAGTACTGTAAATGTCACTGTTTATTAACCAATATCCAAATATTACATTCAACATTTACAGTGGGTATAAATTTTAGAAGGTTGCTTTCAGCATCTGTATTTGCTGCTTTTGTCAAATGATACACATGCATAGTTCTGCATGAGGAATCTATAACTTAAGATTACAGCTATATATCAGCTTAGGTTGCAAAGTTGATTACATGAGAAATATCAGGCAAGCAAGGCTGTTACAAGCAAGGCTGTCCTTTAGAAGCAGGTTAAGCACACAGGCTGCAGACACAATAAGCTAGCAGTCCTGCATCTTCAGTGAGCCCAAGTTGTATTAGTAACTCTGGCTCTGAGGTCCAGCAAAAGCACCACTCTAGGCTCTTAGACTATAAGAGATATTTTCACAATATTTAATGTCCCCAGGGGTGCATGGGCTCATGTATGTATGAACATGTGCAGGCAGATACCCATGGAAGCGGTGAGGACATCACACTCATGAGAACTGGAGTTCCGGATGGTGGCAAGCCTTGGGGTGTGGGGAACAGAACTTCGGGCCTCTTCCAGAGCAGTAGGTACTCTTTGCTGCTGAGCCATCTCTCCAGCTCTGCACTTGGAACATCTGTACACTGCTGGTTAGGGTGTAAAATGGTACCCTAACTTTGGGAAACAGCCTGGAAGCTTCTTCAGATAAAATTAAGTGTGTATTACCTTAGCCACTTGGAGCTGCTATAGTAGAATACCATAGAATTAATAGCTTAAAGAACAGGCATCCCTTACAATTTTAGAAGCTAGAATTCAGTTACCAGCACAGTTGCTTTCTGGTGAGGGCTTCATTACTGGCTTTCAAGATGGCCCCCTTCTTCCTATTCCATTATTTTCAATCTACAATAATGTTTCTTTACCTTCCTGATGCTACTCTGTGGTCCTTTAATACAGTTCCTCATGTTGTGGTGATTCTCAATCATGAAATTATTTTCATTGCTACTTTATCACTGCAATTGTGCTACTGTTATGAAGTGTAATGCTTCATAACATTAAACATTAAAATATCTGTTTTCCTATGATCTTACGTAATCCCTGTGAAAGGGTCATTCGACTTGCCCAAAGGGACCACACCCCACATATTGGGAATCACCGATCTATAACACGCACATACCTGATATATAGAAGCTCATCCACAGATGTTTTTGCCAAATGAAACAAAAACTTACACTTACACAAAGCTAGAATACAAATGTCAGAAATACTTTATTCATTATCGCTCCAGTTCAGACGTCCTTCAATGAATAACTGGATCAACAAGTAGTGATATGTCTATCCAATGTAGTACTACTTAGCAATAAAACTGAACTGCTAATACATACAACAAACTGCACGGATGCTACATATATTTTGAGAAGCAAAAGAAGGCGGGCTAAGTGACGACATGCAGTATCACCTCGTTCACGTTGTGTCTTAGAACAGACCGAACTTCCAAGCAGAGAAAACTGGCACAGGGTTAACAGATCTGGGAGTGGGCGAGGAAAGAGACCAAAGACCCTGAGGGACTCCTCTGCAGGGGGTGTTATAGCATGAATCTGCGTTCCAAGGGACCCACCGAAGCTTCCAGGCTTTTGTGTTCCGTGGCAAAGAACTGGCTGAACACACAGTCAGAGGAAGAAGTAAAGGTCATTTATTAAGACAGCAAAGGCTGTCTTGAGAACAGGAGAGGCCTAGTGATCAGAGGGGAATCACTCAAAAGAACTGGGCTACCTTAATCCGGTCAGTTACACAGCATCCGTTCCCACAACTCTGTGTCGCTGAGTTCTTCCCGAGCATGCTCTATTTGATTTATGTGGCCGGGTGGGAAAGGGTTTTCAGTCTTACCCTACACGCTGACTTCTTTCATATGTAACTTTCCCTGGTCCCTCTTCTCTGCCACGAGGAGAAAGTTTTCACATCAGAACAAGCCACATTACATAGACACGCTTTGCCAAAACTCATTGAACATGATATTTTTTGAGAAGATCAATTTTATTCCATATTAATTAAAAAGCAATCTTTAAAGGAAAAAAAAGGCTAAGCAAAAGAGAACCACAGAGAGAATAGATGGTCAACGAGCAAAATGGAAGCAAAACACCTGCTCATGTCTTGTGCAATAATTTTTACATGGACCAGTTTGCAAACAGGGCTTGAAGTCAGATCAAACTCTTGTATACATAATCACACACCAGGTCCACCATTCATTCATTCATCCTACCAACAGTGAGTGTCCACAAACACCTTGTTCTAGCTGCTGGGAACACAAAAGAGCAGATTCAAATTGAAAAGTAGTCAGAAGAGACTCTCTGCCTTCTTTCTTTTATTTTTTGTTCAGAATTTTGTTTCTGCGTCATTTTCAAATACATTTAAATATTTTTAGACACTGCATAAACTTCAGGCCAGGTCGACAACCCAAGATCTTTTCTCTTGGCCGAGTCAACACCCTCAAGCACAACCCTCAAAGATAGTAAAGTCCCTGCTCCACTTGCTTACTGGGTGAAATAGGCCCAATTTCAGCGGCCACTGGCTCCATATCCAAGAACTGCCCTGGTAATGAAAGCGCGAACCCAGTCAGCGTCTACCTCTAAAGTTGTTTCAGGGATGTAGAGGCTCAAAATAGGTAGGGCAGAGACCTCAAAACTGTTCAGTGAAGTTCTGGCTGGAGGCATTAGGGATGCCAAAACAAAGTTTTGCGTCTCTCTGCCCTTGCGGGGAAGCTCTGCCTGAGAATGTGAACGAAACTGAGATGAGACATCTGGGTACCTCGGGGTGGGGACAACTGGCCTGTCCACCGCCCCAATGCGTACCTCTAGTTCTGCCATTTGCCCTCGAAAAGGTCCCAGACCAGGAGTACAGCGGTACCCCCATTTTCTGGGGCCCACTGATACTATGAAGAGTCTAGCCTTCTCTTTTGCACAAGTTTCTGCCTACCAAACTGTAAGAGCCTTCTTTCTAGAAACCACTGTCTATACTATGGATTTTATTCTTGGGTTTCACAAGACAAGAATCCCGAGTCCATTTGACTCGCTGGATGTTTAGTGCGACCGTGAGCATCTGGCATCAGAGTTAAAAGACCACCCAAAGCAGAAATAAAGGCTTTTTGAACTCAAGAGATTAGTCCCCTTTTCTACATCACATAAACAGCTCCGAAGGCCTAGGGATTCCTAGATATGGCCTTCAGTCTGGGCTGGAGGGCTGAAAAAGTTGGGTTTGAAGTCAGCAAAGCAGAGAGCGGGGAGTGGTGCTGAAGGCAGGGTGGATATACTCAACAGGGAGGGGTGGAGCAAGCAGACAAAGTGCATCATGGGTTGTCTCCCGGGGCTCTTTACATCTGGGCCGCGGGAAGCTACCGACTGTACGGAAGGGTTTCCCCCTCTCTGGTAGTCCTTCCAGAAAGTATTGTCACAGACCCGCCCAGAGCCACTTCTCTCCCCTGATTCCAGATCCAATCAAGTTGATGATTGACAGCGGCAGAGCGCAGCGAAGTCTGTCCTTCAACAGTGGCGCAAATAATCGACTTAAATCAACCCTACGGTCAAGGAGACTTCTTCAGACTGGTATATCCTAAAGCCCCGCAGCCGCATTTCTAGCAGGCCATTTCTGACTTCCTCGGAGAAAAATCCCAGTGAGAAATGGAAAGTTTGGCAAAAACGTGAGGGAGCAAAGGGAAGAAGGTGCGGGAGTGGCAAGAACGGGAATTCTGGTGCAGCAGGACTGAAGCTCTGGGGGCTAAGGGCGCTTCAGAAGATGTTACTGGACCCCTGGGATTTCCCTTCGGTTCTAAGGACCTGTAGCCCGGGTGCAGCATTTTCTCCACCTATGGAATGAAGGCATTCAGCAACGGGTGGCCATGATTTCCTCCATCTAGAATCTAGACTCCAAGTGTTCAAACTCTACTCCTCGTTTCCTTCTGAGACTGCCCTTTGCTTTTTTTTTTTTTCTTTTTTGCCTCAACAGAATCCACTTGCCATTTTCCAACGCTCAAGACTCAATTTTTTTCCTCTGTTCTTCCCAAATGGGTTGGAGGGACCTGTCCTTTGCTGATGTTCTTCATCTGCCTTTCTCTGTGCTCGGGTGATTTATTTCACCAGTGTCTTCTCTAATGAGGCTTAGCAACCTTCTTGTCCTGCTGTGGTTTTTGTCAACTTGGCACAAACCAGAGTCACTTGAGGAGTGGGAACCTCATCTGAGAAAATGTTGCCACTGAATGATTTGCCAACAAACCTGTGAGCCATTCTGCTGTTTAATGATTGTTCTGGTTCATGTTAACTACGGCTGTGATGAAACACAATGGCCAAAAGCAAGCTGGGGAGGAAAGGGTTTGTTTGGCTTAGTCTTCCACATCATGACCCATCAATGAAGGAAGTCAGAGCAGGAACCTGGAGGCAGGAACTCATGCAGAGGTCATGGAGGGGTGCTGCTTACTGACTTGCTCCTTGTGACTTGCTCAACATGTTTTCTTTCTTTTTATTTATTTATTTTGGTTTTTTGAGACAGGGTTTCTCTGTAGCTTTGAAGCCTGTCCTGGAACTTGCTGTGTAGACTAGGCTGGCCTTGAACTCACAGCTATCTGCCTCGATCTGCCTCCCGAATGCTGGGATTAAAGGCATGTGCCACCACCATGCTCAATCTGTTGTCTTATAGAACCCAGGACCAACTGCCCAGGGTGGCACTCCTCACAATGAACTAGTCCCTTCCACATCAATCACTAAGAAAAGGTCTTACAGACTTGTCTATAGCCAGATCTGATGGAGACATTTTCTTAAGTCTCCTTTCAGGTGGCTTTAGCTTGTGTCCAGTTGACATAAAAATACCAGCAAAATGATGGATGTGGGAGGGCCCAGCTCACTGCGGTAGGTGGCTCTACCCATTAGCAGGCGATCCTTAGTTACATAAGAAATCAGGCTCAGCCAGGCTTGAGGTGCAAGCCACGAGATCAAACAGGGGGGAGTGTTCTTCCACAGCCTCTGCTTCAGGTCCTAACTTGAGTTCCTGCTCCAGCTTTCCTCAGTGGTAGAGTGTGACCAGAGAGTTGTGAGCTGAATTAAACCCTTTCCTCCCCAAGTTCCATGGTGTTTTTGCACCGTATGGCAAACCCTAACTAAGACATGTGTTTATTTGAAATCATCTTCATCTTCCATCTCTCCGCCACCATTACAACCACCAATGGCTAACTCAAGTAACCTGGAAAATGCTCTACGTCCCCAGCCTAAGATTCCATCACTTGTTTAAGGCTCTCTCAATTTAACAGTGTGACCTTTGAGGGGTGCGGGAGGAGGAAGAAAGAGAGAAAACCGAAAAGAGAAGACATAGAAGAGGGAGCAGAGAGAGCAAAGTAGGAGGCAAGAAGACTACGCACACTGTGAAGAGTCTTGAACAGCCTTGATTCATTCATCTGTACACACGAGCTACTCCCGTACCACAGCAACCATGTTACCTGACATAAACTCCCTACTCTGGCTCATGATTTCAGTCCATCATGGAAGAAAAGGCTGGTGAAACAGCTTTAGTCAAAGCAACAGGAGCAGTAGCTCCTATTCGTGGTCACTTGGAAAACCTAGAAGCAGAGAGGGAGATGGGCACCCAGGAAGGCTGACAGGTAACATTAAAAGCCCACCACTAGTGAGCTGCTTCTTCCAACAAAGCCACGTATCCTAAAACTTCCACAGTTCCCAAAGTAACACCACCAGATGGGGGGAACAAGTTTTTAAACCAAGAACCTGTAGGAGTTCAAACCATAACGCTGCAGATGTACGCTGCACTCCATTTTGTAGTCAGACACTTCGGTCTTCTTCTAAATCATTTAGAACACCCAGAATCTCTCTCAGGCCTGCTGTGTTGGTGAGCTTGTTCTTCTTTCACACCCTAAAGATTGATAGCATCGT